ATATAGCAGGCTTGATTGGATGTGATGCTCCAGATACACACTGAGTTTTGGAAAATTGTCTGAGGTTTAGAAAACATCCCTTTTGTGTAGGCATACACTTCGGTTGGATGATTTTGGGGACTAAAGGATTGAACAGATCAGCACAGAAATTTGAGTTGCAACATCGTTTTCCAACTCACCATGTGTTACGTGATCCACAAAGATTGTGTTTTCGTGGATGCGATTTGAAGGATGTTCTTGGAGAAAACTATGTCGAAGAAAACTGAGCTTTGGAAATAGTCGTTCTTTCGGCTTGGTAGATGGTAGTAATGCTGCTGAGGTGAAATCAGAATCTGAATTGTCTGTAAATAGTGAGTTCGGATCTCCAACTACATATACTACAGAAGTGAGTTGGGACGACAATGAGATTTTCCCAAGAGATCAAGCTGACATAGAAGTGTTTTCATTATGCATGAGAGCGAGACAATCAATATGTAATATTGAGGTTGTTCTCATACGCTGGCCATTCAGACTCATATTTCCAATTTCATACTGGATTAGCTATTTTACTAGGACAATCAGTAGCATGGTAAGTCAGACTTTTAAACTGGGACTATGTAGTCGGCATTCGATGAAAAAAATTAAAAATAATCAGACAATAAAAGATAAAGTTAGCAATTTTCTCAGCACTTTACTCTCTTGATGCACATTTCGTTCTAATAAACAGCCCTCCTTACTCTAACTTCAACTTCCCTTCCATCATTTGAACCTACTCCACCTTGTCAACTATCATGGCTCCTTGTTTTTAATCACTGTATTAACTTATCTGGAGGCTCCAATGACATTTCACTCTAGCAAATCTACAAGACCTAGCGTACCGGGGGTTTTAGCAGGAGGATTCGTCAGTCACGTGTGTGGTATGCAGAGAGTTATTAGTTGATAAGAACTAAGTATGTGTTTGGAATGGAGTTCACAATTCCAATTTACCTTAGTTTCCATTATAGTTTGTGTGAGTGACTGTGGGTTACAAACTATTTCACAAAATGTTCCGCAATCCTGATTATATCGTTGGCAATCTCAATGCTGAAAATAAAAAGAATACACTATATTCTTGAAGATAGCCTGGGAATGTCTTAGTGAAATAATAACTCAGACGTTGGTGAGGATTTCAGTAAATAAAGGCATCAGAAGTTTATTACTCGGTTTAGAACTACACATCCATTTTACATTAACCAGTACAAGCCTTTATAGAATGTGAAGTATTTTGAACAACGGCTGACATTTATTTTTGTAATAGTAACCCTGATATCAAGATTAACCAAGGAATACCTCCTTTTGGAGAACATTGTAATGAGTAAGGAGGTAAGTGGTTCGTGCTATCGGATGTGCTTTCCCAGGTTGAAAGGGCTGCATTTAGCTTCTCTAGACTTGATTCAATTCGTCCAAGCGATGACATTTGGGAAAGAGATTAGGATGATCATGTCGCCCCAGACCAGTATCTAAATAAAGATAACGAACCCTCTATCACTGATGTTTAATTAATGATGACGAATGGATTTTCCAATGTGGTGGTGGCCATATTTAAGAGAGTTATTGGTCTGAATTCAGAAAGGATCCTATTGTATTGCCATCAGAGCATATAATTATGGATTAGGTTTTGAAATATTATCGTGAATTAGTAAGATATTTCGGTGCTATATAGGTGACATCGAAAGTTCGAGGACGATTTCGATAGCTAAGAGGTGGTGTAATCATGATGAGAGTGGTGAGAAACTGAGTTTTTTAGAGAAGAAGGAATAACCCGAATGGGTAGAATAATTCGAGGAACTACTAGATAGACCAGCTCGATTTAATCCACCGGCCATCGAAACAACACACACACAGATCTTCCTTTAAGTGTCACTCCACCAATGATCGAAGAAATCAAGATAGTCGGCTACTGGAATAATAAACATAATCTCAAAACGTTAGATCTACAATGATTGTTACTTACTGCCTTGACGTTCGTATTGAAGATTGTGAATGTGATACTGATTGCCAATTTTTTGAGGTCAATATGTTATTCAATTGTGGGAATGCGATCTTTGTTTTACCAGTCCTCGCCTTCACATCTGCATCATGTCCTCCTTGTTCATCAATGATGCTTCCCAGGTACGTGAATGTTTCTACATCTTCCAGAGTTTCGCCATCAAGTGTGATTGTGTTGGTGTTCTCAGTGTTGTATCTGAGAATCTTACCTTTTTCCTTTGTGTATGTTGAGGCCTACTAGTTCACAGGCTACTGCTACATCAGTTGTCTTCATCTGTATTTGTTTGTGTATACGAGGTAGGAGGTCTAGGTCATGTGAGAAGTCCAAATCCGCTAATTGATTCCGAGATGTCCATTGTATTCTGTGCTTCATCGCAGATGTCGAGGTTTCCATAATCCAGTCAATTACCGGAAGAAGGAGGAAGGGGAGAGTAATCAGCCTTGTCTGACTGCAGTCCTCACTGGAAATGCATCTGTCAGCTGTCCTCCATGCACCACTTTGCACTGTAGTCCATCTTATGAGTTCCGGATAATGTTGACAATCGTTTCAGATACTCCATAGTGTCTAAGAAGCTTCTGTAATGTTCTCCTATTCGCACTGTCAAACGCCTTCTCATAGTCAGGGACGTTGATGTATGGTGACGCATTCCTCTCAACTGATTGTTCAACAATGAACCGTAGTGTTGTAGCTTAGTCAGTGCATGACCGGTCCTTACGGAGTACGGTCTGTGGATTCCAAAGTTGGGCGTCTCCTGGATCTTTCATCCGGTTCAGGGACATTTTGTTGAAAACTGATAGCAGTGTGATGCCAGTCTAGTTCACCTTTCTTTGGTACCTTGATGAGGCGTCCTTCTTTCCAGTCCATTGGCACTTCTTCTTCCTCCCAAATCTTCTTGAATAGAAGGTGAAGCATGATTGCAGTCGCTTCAATTGCCTGACTTCAGTACTTCAGTTGGTATATTGTCAGGTCCTGCCGCCTCCCCATTCTTGATTTGGCTGGTGGCCGACTGCCGTGATTTCTTCGATCGTTGGTGGAGTGACATTTAAAGAAAGATCTGTGTGTATTGGTTCGATGTCCGGTGGAATAAATGGAGCTGGTCCATCCAGTAGTTCCTCTAATTATTCTACCCACCTTTTCCTCTGTTCTTGAATCACCATGACCGTTTTTACTTCTTTGTGCCTGACTGGTTTCTCTGGTTTACTGTATTTACCTGCTTGTTTCTTCGTAGTATCATATAATCGTATCATATCCCATTCTCTTTCATCTTTTTCCGCCGTCGTTGCTAGTTAGCCTATGTATTTATGCTTGTTGGCTTCAATGCTATTCTTCACTTGCTCGTGTGCTGTTGTATATTTAGCTTGTGCCCTGACATTCTCTGCTTGTGTTCGACTGTTGTTAATTGCCGTTTTCTTGTTCTTCTTTTCCTGAATCCCGTTCAGGGTTACCATAGAGATCCATTTCTTATGATGATACTTCTTGCGACCCAGAACTTTCTGACACGTTGAAGTAAGTGCTTCTTTGACCCCTTTCCAGTTGTCCGTCATAGTAGTTTCTTCTTTCAGTAGATTATGTATGGCTTATAGCCTGTTGTTGAGAGTTATCTCGAATTTATCGCCTAGGGAGGCTGTATTGAACCTATAAGTTGCTTTTACCCAAATTGTCCAGTGTTTCCGTAGCTACAGTCTCATTTCGGCCACAACCATGTTGTGATCTAAAGCTGTTAGTTCCTCCCCTGGTTTTCATGTCTTCCATTGTCCTTCTGAATCTTTTAATGATACAAATAAGATCCATCTGGTTCTCCGTTGTATAATCCGGTGTGACCCATGTAGCTTTGTGTATGCATTTGTGTGGGAATATAGTGCCACATATAACTAATTTGTTGAATGCACATGGAGTTGCAAATTTGTCACGATTCCCATTCCTTCCTCCCAGTCAATCCATGTCTTCCCATTAAATATTCATGTCCGGTGTTACCCATCCCTACTTTGGCGTTTAAACCTTCTTTCAAGATTGTCAAGTCCCTTCTTAAGAACTCCGCTAAGATCAATAACAGCTCCATAAAACTGATCATTATCGTCTTCGTTGCAATCGTTGGTTGATGCATATCACCCTTCATGAGTGTTGAATTTTGAATGTAAATCTTCTCAGGTGACATATGTTTAGCTTTCGGGATCGTGCGGTGGAGAACAAATACCACTAGAGATCCGTCATCAACAAAGTTCACTTATAATACTAATTGTTTCAGAAACTGAAACTCATGAGAAACGATACATTGTAGTGAGTCCCTTAAAATATGAAATTATAGTGTGTTTTAGCGGGAAGTCTTCAACAGCGCAGTGTATAGAAAGAGTGAAAAAATGTAACAATAAAAAAGTGAGCTTACGGCTCAATATGCATACATAATTTACTCATATTTAATACATTAATGAGTACAGTCGTCAATAAATAGCTATATCGCAAGTGTAAGACTAAGGAAATACGGAAATCAAAAACAGCAACCCTTAACATGAGGTTTAGCGCCACAACGGATTACTCTTTCCATAAGGTGTGTACGTAGTCTGATAGTCGATCAAAATTATTGGACGAACTCGAAGTTCTGTATCAGTATCGAGGAGATTCCATACAGTTGCCATTATATCATTGGTGATGTGCAGCAGTTTGTTACTATCTCTGAATAGATTAAGTCTGGGGATTAACGGTCAAGAAGGGAAAATGCATTTTAATCAACAGTTGTGAGAACACTTGTATGTGTTATGGCAGTAGCCTCACTGAATTTCGTTGCTTCCATGTCCTTGGGGGAAAATGCTTCCGTGAAATAAGTATTCATAGAGATCAAGGTGATAATTTATGGAATACAGGAAACAGACTGGAAGTTTTTGGATATGGACAATGTGGTTTCTCATAGTTTGAGGTTTTTCGTCAATGAAGTGAACCGCAGTGACGTGAGTTCTGTTGATCATCTGAACGCTAACTTTGGAAGAATCTAGTTCATGTACCGGGTTGTTTTGAAACGAGACGAGAAGGGCGTGAACTTGACGAGAAAGAATCAAACGATGGACACACTATTGATGTTCGTTGTCCAATAAACTTTTTCACTCTTAAGAACATTTCTATTAGTGATTTACGCAGTGAAGTCTTTGTTGCTATCAAGTTAATAAATTTATTGCTCTAGTGGTACATAATATTCTGATTTTTCGAGTGACTACCATGCTATTAATTGTTATATTGCTGTAACTACTGTACAACAAATGAGTCTCTGATGGCAAATTTATGACTAGATGTTTTAGTAGTTATAATTATTGATGATACCGGTCTCAGTCATCAATCTAAGAAGTCGCTATTGTCACTTGAAGCTACCAAGGGAGCGGATTGATTCTTGATCTAAAGTATGTACTAAAGTAATAAAAATTTCACCTTTACTTCCAACCATAATTATGGTTAACTTATGAACTGGCTGAATTCAGCTAGTTAACAGAAGTTACAGAAATATTGGAATTTATATATGATTCCTCATATTTTATTTTGGGAATTTCAATCGTGTAGTCTGTTTATGTTGATATCTAATGTCCTGGTAGACTGCAGATCGTTGCTTTGAAGATAACAGGCAAAGAAAACTTAGTAGCCCTTTCTTCGAGTTAAATGTAGTACTATTATCTTTTGTGAAAATTCCACTTTTTTAGTTGATGCCTTATGTGCGAAGATACTTGAATTGGTAACTACCATAGCGGTTTCCCATTGTTGATCACCAATGTAGGTGATCTGTACTGATGATTGTGGGCCTACTTGAGTTGGAGGGGGTCAGTGTTACCTAGACTATGTCTAAGTCTTACCTTGTTGTTAATACATAACGTGGATTGCCATCTCGTCGTATCCGAGGAATCACCAATCTAACCTCTACTTGATTTATTACGGCAACTGGAAAAGTAAATTATTCAAATATTTCCAGTTACTCTCTACATTCATATTGGTCTCTATCAAGTGTTCACAAGTTAACCTTGAACGTTTTTTCTGCATCCTTGTGTGTACATAAGTCTATCTTTACTTGTATTCTAATTTGTTGACTGTCTACTCGCTGTAATTTATACGGTCTATATCTATGTATCCAATGCGCTACTTTAACTAGGATGATTTGGCTGGTATATCAATTTCATGTTCTGTCTGCTTGTCTTTAACTTACGTGGTTGTCTACTTATAATTGAGTGATTAAAATAAACGTATCTTCATTACATTTTGTCACTTGGCTTTTGATTTTAACGTTGTATTAACGTGATGTTCAAGTGATTTTGAACGGGATAGAAGCTGTCGCCTCACAGATTTCAATATCTAACAGCAGTGGAACACCGATGCCTCCAGATAGGAACTTGGTTATATTTGACGATAACGAAAAAAAGATTATATAATAGTGAGGTACTGTCTTTAGTCCTCTAGAATATGTCGAGTTTTCTCTTAAGAGACTCCCGGAAAGTCGCTTCGACTACCTCTGCCGTCAGAAAATTCCCGAATTTGACTACTCGTAAAGAATAAAAGGTGCGCCTACAGTGTGTTATGATATGTTATGTCTCTAATTTCTGGGTTTTATCTCAAAGGTTTTTGTTAGGACTGAGCTTAAGCTGGTTTTTAAGGAGATACCCAAATGTGTTATGCTATGTGTCATTAGGCTACATCTGAGACGCCCATACCCCAATGGGTAAAGGTTCAGTGATTTGAGGCGCCCTTCAAAAGGTTTGAACTTGATTCCTCGGACTGATATCCTGGCTCACTTTTGGATAAGTTCCTATGTATTGTTATCCTTTTTATTGAGGGACGAAACACTATATTTCCAGACTCCCAGTGGGTCCAAATGAAACTGTTGAAGATTCGGTGGAAGGTTTTCTCATCAAACTAGCATACAATACGCTACAACGTTGCCAGTACAAGGTTTACTTCGAAATGTATTTTTGTCTCAGTTAACATCAAACTTCAGATCAACACTTCCAGATCTTTTCAACTTGGGGATCCTCTAAAATGAAGTTATCTAAGTTGTATTCGTAGTTCACGACATGTTTCATATAGACCACTTTACACTCTAAAGTGCCAAAGGGAAGTCCTTTATTGTCTACCCAACTTTGAAGTCGAATCAGATCCTCCTGAAGTGCCAGTTCATCCTTTTTGTTACAAACTTCTCTCCAGAGTTTCACATCACCAGGGAAAAGTAATAAATCTGACGATATCGGCTGTGGAGGACCGTTTTTATAAATAAAGAAGTTTTTTTGCTGAACCATGAGGAACCCCATTAGGAAATCCTATATTCTGAGAAAAAGCAAAGTTGATCCTGACCTTGAAAAAGTCGATTATATAGATATTGAGTAAGTCAATCAATTAACGGTGACTTGATACTTAGCCGTTCAAACTTATTGATGAGTCATATATGATTGAACCTATCACAAGCTTTTGGAAAGTCAAGGTATATGACACCAACTTTCCCCTTGCGATCAAAGATGGTTGTCGATCTGTTCACCGCGGTCAGCAGATTGGTTACTCAAAAATGACCCTTCCATAAACCGTTCTGTTGGGATGAAAATACGTTTATAGATAATAAACAGTCACATAGACCATCGAATATCAGGGAGTCCATAATTTTTGTAGGTATTAAGAAAAGTGCTATCAGCCGGTAACTTGAAGGTCTGCTGTGTCAACCTCCTTTAAAAATCTGTGTAATGTGAGTCAGCTTCCAATTTTCTGGTACCGTGTCTCGGCCTAGTGATTACTGATTACACTGATTAATCATGAAATTGTGGTATATGTGAATATTAAACTGGAGTCAGACACTGACACAGAAGTCTCACCGTATATGGATTTTCATAGCACCACTGTGGATGATTCTGGTGATTCGGTTCCATGTGGAACTGTAAGTTTCCCGGTCAAGTTTTGAACCAGAATGATGTAATTGTCTAGTGTCCTGTAATTTCCTACTGTTTACCAAATGTCGTACATTAATGATGAAGACTACCAACATAACGTTATATAAACAAAGTGTTTCAAGAAAATAAAGTGAGATTCAATAAATGTATCGGATATTATGCAATTTCGGCCTATAATGGTTAAAAACAAATATTTTCTTTTGCACTTTTGAGATATTGACAAACCAGTACAGAGTTATAGAAGATTGAAAAGTGATTTTTTTCTTTACGTTCCAAATCATTCACGACCAGACCAGTAATTAACAGGTTCATACTTTTAGTAAAACTGCAGCCGAATTCTATATCTCTTTCATTTTTTGGCTTTTTATACAAAGTACCTAATCTTAAATAAATCATACATTTCAGAACATTTTACTCAGACTTATTGAATCAAAATTACCATGTCTCCTAAAAAAATCTCAAAAGTATAGGAATTTTCATACCTGACTTCACTGGTAACTACTTCTGAGATAGCATGTTGTAGAAAAACAGCTACTCCATGGTTTTAAATGTTTTTTTCTCCGATATTTTTGGTCGTAAATTAACCATCAAATCTATTTTCGTGTTATTCACCTTTTATCATTGTTTAGGTATTTACCTAAGTGACGAGACGTTTGGAATAAGTTCGTTTAAACATACATTCCGCTTAATGCAAAAAATAATGCAAGGGAGTATTGCTGGTAAAAAGCAAGTAATCATAGAATGGTATATTTCAGCACACATAGTGTTTTCTAATTTTTTGAATTGATAGTATTTAAATAATGGTGGTTCAAACATCATGAATTACTTCCAGTTATGCTGAGTTGGTCCCACTAGCTGTTTAAAAGTTCCTCATTGGGGTTTCGCTGGATCACCAAGACCATAGATGGATTTTTTAATGCGGAAGTGATTCAATATTAATATGAACAGATAAGATCGAATAGTATTATTGTTTTACGAATAGTCATGTAATTGTTAGTTAAATTTTACCACGGTAATATCAGCTAATGAATCACCGAAATTAGGAGAGCACTAGGGGGCCTTTCAGAGACTTTATCAGTACAGGTACATCACTCCACATGAGGTGCGAGCCAGTACTTTTAGGTTTCGCGAAAACACTAAATTGTCGTCTCCCGATTCGGAAGTAAATATTTTCAATTCGGGTAAGTTTATGGTAAAGACAGTAAATACCGAGATATTGCTACTCACTTTTACTAATAAAACAACGTTTGTTTTCTCTGATTTTCAACAAAGTTTGTTACCAATGAAAAACACGAAAGAGACAAAAGTTCGATTGAGTGAGAAAATATCTGGATACATGATTGATGAAATATCCAGTGAAAGTTCAGCAGGTGGGAGACGGTTTTTAAGAAATCCAGAGAAACGAATCCATAAAAATGTCGGTAGGTAAATGAATTCTGTAGTTTTCTGAAGCTTTTTATAGTTGTATCATATGTTTCATTTTAGAGAGTTGGTAATTTTATGACATGAGGAGTTTGAAGCTTAGATAACAATTAAATATTATGGAATGAGAAGCGATTACTTCCAATCAGTACTTGAGCCAGGGTGGTTGCACGTTTTGAACGAAGAAGAACCTTACAAAATACAGTGAGGAGTAACACTATGCAAAGTCTAAGGGCTACGTCTCACCAGAATTAAGTGACCTGAATAATCAGAATAAGTTGATATCGTTCTTTGAACCTGAATCTCAAACATCTAAAACTACTCAACAAAATTTCCATCAAAAGTTTGTGAATTTATAGATGGTAATGCACTGATCTTCAATACTTCCCCTAAATAGAATGGAATTCAGACTGACGGTCATAAAACTTGTTATAACAGGTAAAAGGTAGTTAGCCATGAGTAAAACATGTCCCAACCAACTCAGTTGATTGATATTCAATACTTCATCAATCGATTTCCCATTTTACCTAGTATTCTATTTCCAACTCAGGTATTGATTATTCCATGGGTCCAAAAGTATACTATCAATGCTTCTAATACACATATAGTCAAGTACCAGTAGCCTGCAAATATCCTCTACTTTCAATGGTATACTTCACACCCATAAAGTGTGACAGAGCGAACTGATGAGCAGTAAACCCGTTCTTTGACTGGAAGATGGATATCCCGCCTTCACCACGAATGACGCAATTTGGAAAAAGCCAATCGAGCCTGCCGAATACATGTAGAGATTTCTTTAGACACCAGACTACCAGGACTGATGAGCCACCCAGGATAAGTGTAGTGGTCGATGCTCTCAACTACACTCCCTTTCATTAATTCAGGCGATGGCATTAACCATTCACAAAGTAAGACTTTAAATTTGTAGGGAGAGAACAGCATCTCAAACATGCTTGTATTGCCACTTAAGGTGGCCGGAAGACCCTGCATTTTATCAGAGTCTTCACTGAACAGAACTATATCATCTGCGTATTCTAGGTCAACAAGTGAATATCCTGATAGAAGACCAATCTCTGAAAATCCAGAAGGTAAGGGGGTTATCTCTAAAAGTATGTCCGTGATAAAGTTGGGTAAAAATAGAGAAAGCGGACAAACTTGACCAACACCACTTGAAGTGGCAAAATTTGATGACAGCTGGTGTAATTTATTAGTACATGTCACTTCTGCTACTATAGCTGTTTGGATGCCAAGCTACCTTGTGGTGGATTTCCCGGTTGACAAACCCCTCTAGTTATTATTGAAGTACAGTCTTAACGTTTTCATAGTTAAGTTGAACTCCAAGAGTTTATCATGCTGTGGCTTTTTTAAGTTCAATAAGATGCAGAAAAATACGTGCTCGAACTAGAGCATGATCCGGGTATAAACATGTGCTCCAGAATGCGGGACGGTCTTCAATCAAGCCGCTTCAACGATGGCTGATGGCATTGTGATAATTTTAAAACCACCGATTAGTCAATTGTGAGGACCATCACGTCAGATGATGTTTCTCCTTATGTTTAAACTTGGTATTTGTTAGAAATAGACGGCTGCAGCAGACGGTCGCAATTATCTGTTCACTGAGCAGCAATACCATATGATCCGTCTAAGTGCCTTTCGATTTGTTTTAGTTTTCTTACTTGAGCATTCAGATCACTTACCACTATAAATACATCATAGCGTCTAGCTTTTCGAAGGACATATGATATTCTCCCATAAAATTTATTTTTAACCTCATCTGAGCTGCAATTATTCGGAGCGTAGGCAGAGACAACGGCGTGTGTACTTGCCTTTTCGAGTTCCTACTATCGCTTCTGGTCGGATAGCGCGCGAGCGAAAGTCCACTGGAAGTCAGCCTAATAAAGCCTGTTCTGCCTTTGAACTTAATGCTATACCTACATGAGCAGGGTTAGGCAAAGTTGCAAAGAGTTCTCCAGATACTGAAAAGCGAAATCTTGCCAGTTTTTATATCGATAAGACGAGGTCAAATGATTTACCGTGAATTGACCACATATGCGCGTTTTTGAGAAGCAGCATAGACAGATGGTGCGAGATTCGAGATTCATAGCTAAAAGAGCCTATTCTCCTTCCTGGTACAAAGTTTGAACATGAAAAGCCTCAACATATAGTTTGTAATGTGGTTTCAGGAGACCAGGAAAAACATTTCGAGAACTCAGATCATCAGCATTGGTGGCTCCTGCAGATAAAAATATGCAAGAAGGGTTAGTCGAGGGGGCAAAAGAATTATTAGGGGATGAGGGGGAAATTCGAAAGTCAACAAGATGACCTCAGATGTTGATAAAGGTTTGAAGACTGTTGACACTTCCCTGGTGCCCACACCGTGGAAATATATTTCCTCTTGAGGAGAATGAAAAAGCATCTGAATTAGTGGTTTTAGCGACTTGGGACCCTTACCTTAAAGCCCCAGGGGCAACCTCTTGAGGCCGGTCACGTACGGCCTTTTTATAAGAAGATTCAGCCAGCCAGTCAGCTACAACGTAGGACCAGGCACAAATATGCATCAATCCAAGTTGCTACACCTCATTAGCACAACAAGATGAACACCAAGATCATGGAAGTAGTCAATTTAGTGGTGGTAATATATAAAAGAAAGATTGTATATAAGGATATAGTACAGGAAGAAAGACAAATATGAAGCAATTTTAATCTCAAGGTTTAAGGGAAGACAATGAGTGTATACACCTACGCCATTGTGATCGATTCTGAGCCATGTCGCTGAGAGTCTCCAACCATTGGTTACGATAGTCACGCAGACACCAACCAAGTAGTCTGCGTCTACCAACATGACTCAGACCAGAAGTTATTGACTTCAAGGACTGATGCCACGTTTTAGTTCGGCCGCCCCTAACTCTCTTCCAACCATCTCCAATACTAGTCAGCATAGTTCGTCGTGGCAATCGGTGTTCAGGCATACGTAACACGTGGCCTAACCATCTCAGTCGAGGAAGATTCATCACCTCATCAACTGATTTACCATCATTCCCTAATACCCTGTGTCAAACCTCACTATTACTTACCTGGTGATTCCAGCAGATGAGAGCAATATTCCTAAGGCACGTGTAGTCAAACACTAGCAAATTATGTGTATCTTTTATTCTTAATGGCCACGTTTCACAGCCTTAAAGTAGAACAGAACGAACTGCTGCGCAGTATACTCGTTCCTTAATTGATAGATGGATATCTCGTCTTCGCCATAGATGTGATTTTTATATGTTTAATTGCTCAATCATTGTTCTGCTAACACCTAGCGGTCTAAATATCTAGGTTTTATAATGAGACTGAAGTAATGTTTGAAATTTAGTTTTTTCTAGTTCTCATATTTTCACCTTGATCCATACATTTACAGTCATCGGATCTAAGTTTAAGATGAAAACAACTTTCGAAATATACAACAAAGGCTTGACCATAAAACTTTGTCTTGAAATCATTCATCATCAATTTATTGTACTGGACCATGGAACTGTATTGAAAAAAATAAAAACTATGGTGGAGCTAGTATGTGAATAACAGATAATAAAGAAATAGTTAAACTAACAAAATATTAAAAAAAGACGTAAAATTATTATGATTAGATAAAAAAACACCTTGTTCTTAGGCTTGAAGGTTATTTTAGTGGCTTGCACTTTTCAAACTAAGGATACCGAGGTTCGTCCTGCATAAAAAGTGTCCACTGGATAGTCACAATTTAAGGTGGAACATCTAACAACCGCTTTATAGTGTCCGCAATTTGTAAACTTTATAACGACTGTTTCTCTTGCATGCAGGATTCCATTAATAGTGTTCTGAATATTTTTTTATTTCGTGCTTTCCATTATAATTTATATTAGGTTCCATAGATGACAGCTTAGTAGTGTCATTTCTGATAACCGTTTTACCATGATGAATATTAATTCAGTTTTTAATACTTTGGTATTTGTGTTATACTAGTTCGAAAACAATCTCCAGCTACAACTGAAGATGAAAATACTGAAGATTTGCTGACTCCGTTTAGTGCAGGAAAAACGTCACTAAATTTAAATAAATATTCAACACAAAAGGTATTCAATAACAAAGTACGTTCATATTTGTGTTTAATGAAAACACATTTCACCTGATCAAGAATTATTAACATGACAGAATAATATGAAGTCACTGTATTTCGGAGTTTCTCATCAGTTGCTTACAACCTAAAAATAATAGTACTAACTTACTTACGTCTGTTACCCTCGTTGATGAGCATAGGCAGCCAACAAGCATTCCCCATCCAATTCTGTCTTGGGCAATCCTTTCCAGTTGTTATACATCTTTTTCATATATGCTTTCAATTCTCGACGCAGTATGTTCTTTGACCTTCCTTTTTTCTGTTTACCTCTAAGATTCCAAGTTAGCGCTTGTCTCGTGATGCAGTTTGATGATTTCCTCAGTGTGTGTCATATCCACTCTCATTATCATTTCCTGATTTCCTCTTCAGCTAAAAGTTTGTTTGTTCTTTCCCTTAGTAGGCTGTTGCTGGTGGTATCCGGTCAACGTACATTGAGTATCTTGCACAGACAATTGTTTATAAATACTTGTACTTTTCTGATGATGGTTGTGGTAGTTTTCAAAGTTTCAATTCCGTACAGTAGAACTATCTTGAAGTTCGTATTGAAGATTAAACATAGTAGTATGGATAGTTAAAAATCTGCTTACATACTTTATAACATAGAATGTGTGAAATAATAATTAGTGTTGTAAAAAGAAAAAATTGCATAACACAAACATTTGTTAAGGATGTCACAACAACAAATCAAGATTGATAACTGAATCTTTTTGAATGCATAAATTAATGGCAATTACTTCAGCAAAACATGGTAAATTCAATGTTTATTTATTTATTAATTACCGTGAAGGGATTTGTAGAGATTTTGTTATGTAATTTAATTTTATAACAGAAAACAGCTTGATTCATATAAATTTATTTTATATCAGAAAAGGGTTTTGTGGAGATTTTAGTAATTTTATATCGTTGAGATCATGAGTCAATTGAATCTAGACCACCATGGAAAACCTGGAAGCACTGGACGGGGAGATCGTGGATGCGTACTGCTTAGGAGTCCCACAATAGGACGAAACGGCCGTCCAGTGCTTCCAGGTTTTCCATGGTGGTCTAGCTTCAATTGACTTATTTCATATCAGTTATTTTTAAATTATCTACCTTTTTATTAATTAAAAGAAACTAATGAATTCATTTTTTCTATTTAATTAAAAGTCGAAAAATTCAAGTGGGATAAAATCAAAAGAAGTTGAAAAATATTCTGTCAATCATAATGTAAATGAACTATTAGTAGTACAAGAAAATGATGAGAAGGATTTAAGTAGAATTTCAATTTTGTCCTTCAATAATAAAGATTCACTGACTGATGTAAATAAAGGTAAGTTTATATATATATATAGAAAAGGAACAAGACAGATTTGTTACTTAGCCTAAAAGTCATCCTTATTAGATAGGAAAGCCCCCACCCCTTATGTTTATCAAATAATAATTGGGAAGAAAATCATTACGTTTGTCTATATCCTGTCAGCTGCTGAAGATGCTGAAAAAGTGTGAAAGCTTTTAAATATTCTGTAAGGGAATCCAAAAATTCTTATCGAGCATTTAAGTAAATGCGAAGTGTTAACTCGAAATTATTGTGGACGATCGCTGAAGTTATTCAGAGGGTACTGAACAGTTGCGAGTACTGAACACTTGGCTTGTATTTATGTAATATCAATTTTAGTTGTTCAGTGGTTAATGAAACCCCAGAATCGACGAAAAACTACAAATGAAGCTTTATCAACCTATGGAATCTGTAATGTAGATAAGATATTAGTCAACTTTTCAAATAGCAATTGTACTGCGTGATAATTCTTTGTGTTTAATAAAACCCAGAACTATTTACAATATGTTTTGGAAATCTTGATCTTAAAATTAATTAGTCTGTCACTATTCGTGACCAGAATGTTGTAGTTGTGTACCTATATTCCAAATTTTGATTACCTAGTTCAGTGAAGTAACAGTATGACAGAAGAATATGTAGGAGAACATTAACTAGACGATTTAGTTTAGTGGATAACTCTCTGGATTTGTTTAAATATACTGTAGTGATTTGTGGTAGCGAAAGTAAGTATAATTGCTCACTGATTGTGGACAAATAGGAACCCAACTTACTGACAATTAAATATATGATTTCATTTCCTCTAATTGACTACCTGTAATTGTATGGAATAAAGTGTCGTCTAGCGTTACTCTGGTTCTTTCTTCTTGGTTATGAATTGGGCATCTGACCCCACGTTTTGTAAATTAACGATCTGTTCAAAGTAAATGGGATTATAGTGTAGCACACAGGAGGAATAAACTGGGAGAAACAGAATGATCCGAAACATTGAAATAGGAGTATGAATTGGTAAGATAAGTGGTTCAGTGCAACTGAGGAATATTGCTTATTCTAATAAATAGCCCGTAAAAAGAGTTAAATTTACTTCAAGATACCGAATAAATAATATGACATTAAACAAGAATATGGAAAGTAGGCTAAAAGTAATGAAACTAAACAATAAGTCTAATTGTTTCCACTTGTTTTGAGGATTTGCATCTGAACGTTAAGACAAATATCTCTTCACTTGATATTATTATAAACGACTCAATAACATGACGCTTATTACGTTTATTACTAACTAGTTTACCATCTGAGGTACAAGTTTAAGATTCCTACCTTACGTTTGTGAAATATGTATTGATTTATAAATTCAAACTGTAAACTCATAAAATAATTCCTCATTTACTGAAATTAAATTTCCTTAGAAGCTTCACGAAATGAAAGCAAAATGAGTACATTCGATGATCAATTAATATTATCTGTTGATGAATTAATGAATGAGAATAGGATAGATTGCGGAAGTTATTGCTCAACAAGTCGTTTTGACAAGTCGTACAGTGAGTTTCTGCCTTGTTGCTTATAGTTTGAATGGTACGACATTATTCAACTCAAAAGTGAAGTACATATGAAAAGTGGGATTCATCGGAACCTAGAAATACTGATATTAGGTTTCCAGTAAATCGAATTCTGTCATTTTATATGTACCCAATCGATCAACAATACAGAAAAACTTACTGGCCTTAAAGGAACAGCATATTTATTTAAAGACGCAAGTCACAGGTAAAAACGAAATTGTTTATCTGACTGAAGTTGAGCCTCCTTGTGCAACACAAACATATTAGGACGTCGATACCTAAGTTGATATATTAGCTTATTCATTTCACTAAAATCTAACGAGATCTCCATCAAGTGTTGAATACTCATTAAACTGTTCTTTTTTTGGAGTGGTCTTTGCCTTTACACATTTGCAGGAGAAATGGACTCCTAAATAATTCGCTTCACATATTTAGTCAAAAAATAAACCCATTGTTCTTGTCGTTGATATTCATAATAAAGTTTCCTAATGCTTTAGAATGTATATTTGTCAAGTTATGATAGTTCTATCGAATCTAATCAAAGCTCTGTGATTAAAGTCAATGATTTGGGAAGAACAGAAAAGGATTATATTTCTCTAATTGATCTAATAATTAATCATCTTAAATAATATTAAAAAATGGCTTACCGGGTATATATACACATATATTTAAATACAAAACAAACGTAATATAATCAACAAGCTTACTTGAGATATCCTGTAAATAATTTCATTGCAGTCAGTACTTATGAACACTTAACACTGTCCATACTTTATAAACAGGTATCTCGGAGAGGAAATTCCCGGTGGCATCTTCAAACATAATTTGATAAGAATAGCGGTCAACCTGTAACTTACATCGTAATAGGATATAGGCTGTCAACACATTTTCATCATATAACTGTTACACAGTTTCTTAGATGTGATATAAATTAGATTTTTGACCTAATGGTTCATGTAAAGTGGCTAGACAATAACTAAACAACCTATTACTTATAATGTCCCATTTTAAACTAGTTGTTATGGATTGATTACTAGAATATCCTTATGAAACCCTTCGACCTTACCAAAAATGCTAATTCATGCATTTAAACCAATTTTATAATTATTCATCAAGTTGTCACCAATGCATTGTGCAAACATTTTTTGTCAAAGAAAAGTAGTTCTTTCTTATTTAAACTTGTACAGTTAAATCGCTAGTTATAATACAGTAGTTTAATCTCATTGAAATTAATAAATATAAAATACCAATAATATATACAGAATACGTGTTTTAAACATACTAGCTAACTTACTAGATAAATTTCAATCATAACCAAATGATTAGACGAATATGACATTAATAGCTACCTAGTGATCAATGAATTGTAAATATGTTTCAGTCCTACAGGAGATCAATTATAGATAAAACAGTTCAGTGATAACGACTCAGACTGTGAAGCTGGGTGATTCAGATTCGGATCCATTATAGAATCATCAATTCCATTATGAAAGATGTACGGATTGCTAATGAGTGCTATACAGGATGAAAACTTGGTCCAAGGTTCCTTTACCAGTCACCTCCAACCATATAACATCACTAACTGAGTAGTATTTAACCTAACTGAATAAAGGAGAATTGAAAGTTCACTGAAATAAAATCAACATATGAAAAAATGTAATAAAATAAATTAAGTGTAAGTTTATATGGAAGTTATAGATTTGCAGCTAGATTTGTTACTGATGTTAAATACTATCTATCAAAATATTCAATCATAATACGGAAAGTACTATGGATAAACAATGACATTAGTTAATGGCAATCTTAGATATCACTCTCATTTGTCACTGGAAGGACAAATTAATTTTATGGAACTGTTGACGTATTAATTCTATTTTAAGTAACTTGAAATTGATCTCAGTTGCTGAGATGTATTTATTTATTAACTTTCTCTAAATTATTTTTGAAACATCTTATCCTCGTTAATTAATTGAACTCTCATACTTTCAGTTCATGTATTTCTTATTCTATTCATGTACTGTTTCGAAATGGAATGACTTAAATCTTTGCAATTTCAGAAACAAAATTTTATTTTGTCACATAAAGGAATATGAAATAGTTATGCATATGTACTAATAATATTGATTATGAAAGTAATCATTAAAAACTTTAAAGTCTTTACTATTTCTATTGACTAAAACTATTTGGCTTACACTTTTTAATCATTTTAGTTTACTACTCCACTTCCATTACTCAAAATTTGCTAAATGATAGCGTTCACCAATCGAAGTAAATTTTTTAAAACATTCATACTATAGATACTATCGAATAGATAACTCAGCTGTTAATACTGAGTGCGACTTGACAAGGTCATTCAGATATGTTTTGTAGATCGCTTTTTTTAAGTTGCGGACATCGTGTATCCAGACACTTAAAACTATAGTTATTCTCTCCTGTATTCTTTTCATGTTTAATCACATATAACTTAACTAAATATTATAGCCTATCACTGCTATTGTTATTATTTTATATCTTCCCTGAAATTTTAATTTCTGTATCCTCCTTATGTCATTTCATCTCACTATTCCGTTTAAAATTTCCCAAGTTTAAAGACAAAAAATAAACATACTCACTAATGCAACAATGCAAGGAAGATTTACTCGTAAAATAGCTTGGTGTTTTTTTTGCGATGATATTTATACTTAAAATTCTTATCACATAAACTTATCTTCTTAGATGAAAAATCACTGATGGAAATTGAAGAAGTAATTGAATGTGAAAACTCCCATTCACGTAGATCGACGGAGGAGATATCTAATAAAAAACTTCCATTAGAGAAAATATCTTGTCAAATGGACAATGAAAATAGTAGTAGTGAAATAGATGAATATTCAGATGATTTTGAAAATGAACAAGATTCAATTAGTTCAACTAAAGAAAATTTAAAATGCAATTTAATCATAACACAGAAATCATTATCACCTAAAACAAAGAAGGCTGATCGTCTAATAAATCAAAAAGTTTATAATGAAGGTTCGTTGATAATCAATGATTATTTACATATATTGTGTATTTTGCTAGGGAATAAATTTCCCGTCATTTAATTTCAACAAATACATGTAACATACTATTTGTACAAGTACGATATTTTTCAGAGTATGGAAGTTACATAGTTTTCAATGTAATGAATGAAACAACTCATTGACTGGATGCTTACATACCCATAAAATTTCATTGAAATTCTTATTTAAACTAACACTCTGAGTGTTTTGGACGCTTTAAGTACGTTGTAGTTAACTGTGATGTTTGCTAGTTTAATTTTTTACAGTTCTTCACGATAAAAACCTAGGTTGATTAGAAAGTATTTTCAGAAGTTAACAAGTATTGATGGACAATCTCAACGAAGTTCTATTCATTAGGCTTATTAAAATTTATTGATATAAAGAAAGCCATCAGGTAAAAGTAAAAATATTTCAATCGTCATTGGATATAGTTATTCCTGTTAAAGAAATTTTGAAAAATTTAGTCTAATATATTCAACAGGTGTTTTTCGTTATTTTTAAGGTTATAACACTGTCAACCTCTTCCTTTTTGAATGGGTTAAGCAGATATTTCAATACAATATAGTATATTCTGTCATAATGTTTACATTATTTGTATTATTAGTCCTTGTTGAATTACTTACACTTGTTACCCCTCGTGGAGTATAGGCCACCACCAAAACTTTTCCCACCTACTCTATCCTGAGTTCTCCTTTCCAGTTGTTTTCACGTGTTATTCACTCCTTTGTTGTGTGCATGCACTTCCCGGTGTAACATGTTCCTCGGTTTGCATGGCAGAACTGTCTTGGCATTCGTACTGAAGATTCTGACTTTGATGTTGGCTTACAATTCTTTTGAGTTCCATATGTTCTTCAATTCTAGGAATGATGCCCTCCTTTTACAACTTCACTATCACTTTTCTTCATTCATCATTTACCAATGACTGTATTCTCACATTTTTTAATCCCATAGGTATTTTTATATACTGTTAACGATTTATCAGGCTAGTCAGAACACCAACCACTTATTCAGATATATAGTCAACATTATATTATTGTTGATAATAGACAATATAGTAAATTCTTTTAAATGAAGTAAGATCTTGATGTAATTTGAAATAATATCTATGATTGTCTTATGCGTGTTAATGTTATGTGTTATATAACATTTTCTCAAATCACCAATTAGGACCTATGAATTCTTATGGACTATTGAATAAAACGAATTTACGTGAAACGATTTCATATAAGAAGTAAGTACAAATATGCTATTCGTCAAAATACTAATTATTTATAACGTTGTATCCAATTTAAACAATACTGCTCAAAACTTTCATAATTTACGTTTATATTTCATAAAATTGTAACATTTTTCAGGCAAAACCAGTGACCAATCAAAAATATGAATCTTAAATTTACGAAACATCATTTAGACAACACAACTATCCAAAATCACAGATATTATTCAGTAAATAATTTATGTAGTTGCTGACATGGTGAAAGTTTAATATACTTGACAGTATAAATAAAAATTTCACCTATTCAGAGTTTGATGAATTAGATGATGTATAGGACGATGGGATTTGATTATGATTTCAAAGAATGGATTTTAATTAGTTGAATTTCAGTGTTATGATATTACAATTAACTAGTAAAAACATGAGGTGACTGAATTGATAATCTGACCATTGTTTTGATAACAAGATCTAAGACGATCAAATTACAAAAAGACACAACTATTTGGGTATTACGAGAATGTATTAAGAAGTAAAACTTTTCAAATACAAAAAAATCGATTAAAGCAGTGTAACTGTGTTACATAAAAAATAATTATTCCGAAGTAAACATGAAGTTCACAAGACAACAACTGAATGAGCTTGTAGTTCCGCTCAACTTATACCCTAATCTTATTTTTATTCTGCATTCTCAGTTATACAACCCACTAGGCATGAGCCCTGAAAAACTATTCAACGAGTTTGTTCAGTATGATAGTAAATTTTCACCACGAACTAACAACAGCTGGAGAACCATTGAAAACTAGAAGCAATAAATAGCTGAATTTTTCTAGTTTGAAACTCCATAAACGAAATTGACATGAAGTATTAAATCATAGTGCGAACAGCGGATAATTAACTTTACCTCATTTTTATGCTTGTTTTTAGAATATCTAAAAACTCATCTGAAACTCGACAATCAAAGGATGCTGAAGTTCAAACAGTGTGGTCAGGTTATTTTTCACAAAACGACCATATTCCACACAACTTTCCAATAACAAAATATGAAGAAATTCCTACTCCTACTATTAACACTACTCTTAAAATGCAAAATATAACGTCATCGCTCATAAATTACAAAGCATTAGATAGTAAGTATCATATTTCAAGTAGTTTCCTGTGATATAAATCATGATAGTTGTAAAATTGTTAATCTCCATCGTTTGTGTAATTGGTTATCTAAAACATATATATCAAATTTCAGTACTCAGAAAAAATTCAATGTGTAATGGAAGAACCATGACTGGAAACGCCAGAGAAACTTTCTGGCAATCATTGGGTTGATTAAACTTACTGGAAGCATTTATAATGACGAAAAGTTATTGTTTTATATAGTAAATATAATTTGTCAACAAGAACTAGTACAACGCAATAGCATTTGAAGCGAACGGTATTGGGTTCGAGCCCAGGAGTGAATATCAGCTCTGTTAGACACTATCTATCTCTGCTTAGAAAGCTATTACAGTTCATTTATAAAATTTATATATACACCTTGTTAGAAAATTGATTATAATTTTTCTCAATTATTTTTTAATTAGCTTTAACGACTTATAATCCTTGTTTGACTGCACTGGATAATATGTTGAAACAACAAATAAATCTTACAAGAGAATTTTTAACAACACAAAGAAACTTACATGAAACAATTAGCAAAGCGATAAGTCAATGCGTTGTTACAAAAAATTATAATTAAAGAGTAAGAATTATACAGGTAAGTGATAAATATATTCAAATAAAAATTTTCATGAAACTATCTTGTTTCGTTAGAAAAATAAATCAGAAAGGGGTTTTGTGGAAATTATAGTAGTTTAATAGTTAAATTCATGAGTTAGTTGAGGATAAACCACCACGGAAAACCTGGAAGAACTCAACGCCCGTTTCCTCCTAGTACGAGACTCCTCAGAAGTACGCATCTACGACCCCGCCCGCAGGATTCGAAGCCAGGACCTATCTGTCGCGCGCGCGAACAATTAACCTCTAGACCGCTGAGCTGGCATCCAACGGTGTTAATGTCTAACTTCAACCAATCCACGAAATCGCGCCACCGTTTTCTTCAGTGAGTTATTATCTCACAACAGACCCAAACGAAACGGCCGTCCAGTGCTTCCAGGTTTTCTATGGTGGTCTAGCTTCAATTGACCCAAGAATTCAATTATGAGAAGAATAAATGTTCAATCTGTCACTTACGTATAACCAACAGAACTAGTTCATTTTGAAGGTAATTTATTGTCAATGCATGTTATTACTTTAAAAGTCATTGGAAATAAGTGAATGACTAGACGACAATGTCATTCTAGTTCGGTTTTGAGTTCGCTTCATACGAGACTTAATTTATCGCGTATGTTACAATACACATAGATAGACCTTAGATTTTGTGGAACTATAGATGAAGACAACTGCACAGTCCCAGATTAAAACACTTTTTTCCATTGTATCTAACACAATACGAGCTGATATCAGTTTGAATCTTCATTAAATATTTCATATGTTTTTGATTGTATAGCTTTAAAAAAGTGTCAGTGATTGTTATTTTTTATGAACTTTCGACGCAATTAAAAATATTCCAATAACAAAGTGCGATTTTCTATACGAACTGTTTACAGGACTACACAACTGACCTAAATGTCACTGATCTAAATCCTGATCAACCATCATACAGTTTACGGAAATTTCTCGAGGTTATGTTAGTGTCTTCATCTTGCTTTTGAATGTGGTTTCACAATTATTAATGATGACGATACAAAGAAAATAAACTGCAGTTTACAGCTATTCAGATGGAACTTGAATTCTTGGTGAAAATGTCACAGGTTTTATTTATGGATTTAGCAACTCAGTGGTATGGGCGTTTGGGTTTTTAATTGAAAGGTAACAAGTTTGAATCGCAGCGTAGAAGTTAACAGAGATTCATGGAAATCTAGTTGTCCAATCTTCAAAAGAACGAACCGCGGGCTCCGTATTAGACTGACTACTAAATGCAGAATATAAAACATATATAACGCTATAACGTAATAATGGGTACAAAGGCAACAGAGATTGATCAACCTCAGTTCTGAATATAAGAAACGAGAAATTGTAAACACTTACTAATGTTTGAAGTATGTTGCTGAAATCAAAATCGTGCACTACTTCTATTTAGATCGAAATTACTTTCAGTTATGATCCATGATGAGATCTACAAAACTTAGCAGTTTGATGTATATTTACATGAACAAAATGGTGGATGGATTCTCAAATGACTACTAAGATGTTTTTCTTAATAGTCTATACATATACTTTTTTTTCTACCATATGTTTGAAAACAATAGTCGTATATTTGTAAATTTATTGATTGGAGTGTGGTTCCCTAAGAAAACCATCCGCTTCGGTTTGAGTACCCGGGTAGTATTTCAACCCTCACACAAATCGAGTGGTTTGTGTGGCTCATATGTATTCGATGCCTCCCTGTACCAATGTTTATGTGTTTAAATAATAAATCTAACAAGAAATCAATTTTTATTTTATACAACAAAATTACAATCTAATCGAATATATTTATCTATCTACCTATTTTTTATACTACAAACTATAGTTACGAAGAGATTATAAGAAACAATGGTATCTGAGATGTATGAATAACAACTTTTGAAATGTACTTCATGTGATATCATTAACGAATGAAAAAAATTGTTGATTCAATAAACTGAATATTATTACTAGGATTATTATTATCTTTATTCTAGAGTATAACTTATATTCAATTAGTGATAAGTATTATGAATATAATGGTTAAGTGAAATGTTATTAAAGTTATTTAATGGACAATTTGTAGTCCTTTTTTTTCTTCTTTAAAACGTATATTACGGAATAATAAGATTATCTTTGTATTTCTTGTAAACATGAAATATGATAAACGGCCTATCTTACGCCCCCCCCCGACACACTTCACTATGTAAAATATGAACAAATGTTATTTTATATTACAGTACAATATCTTTATTTTATTTACAAATATGTATATAAAAATGTACTCTTTATGATATACAAAATTAGTCGGGAAGTAACGGTGTTAAACGAGCTTGTTTAGCTTTGTGTTTTTTGATTCGTTTATCTCGTGTTGTTATTAATTCATCGAATAGATCGATTTGTTGATTCTCTTCCAATTTTCTAGCTAAACATTCTAAACCGGCTAAATTCATACCGATAAGATTCTAAAATGTACAAAAGGGAGATAAGTGAAAATATTTGAAGATTTTAAGAATGTATAACCTAACTGACATTTATCAATGTAGAGAAAAGATTGTGATTAAAAGTGATATTTCCAAAGATATTTCACTTCAGCCCCTAAATACTCTGGTACAGCCGAGAGTGGGGAGGGCCCGCTTTCTCTCGAAATGCTTTCACACGGCTACGCGTATACAACCTCTGCCAGGGAAGTCCTATTCACTACAATCTCGTGGCGGGGTGTTGTTTACGAAATTGAGAGGACGAAAAGCGAATGTCCGGTTCTTTAACCGGGTTGGTGGACACGGAAAATTCACCTAGGGGAGTTGGAAAACCCTGATTCCAAACCAATGGTGCACATGGGCTCCAGGATCCTGAGGGAACAAATGGCGTATGAATCAATCGTTGGTCACCGGCTACCATGGGATTGCATCTCCTCAAGATGCCCCACTGCCTTGTGGACTAGACCTTTCGGTCAAAGACTCGGGGTGTGGCTTCCTAAGAAAACCACCTACTTCAGTTCGGGCACCTGAGCAGTATCACAGCCCTCACACAAATCAAATGAAATTTGTGAGGCGCATATTTATCTGGTGCTTGCTTGTACCAATATTTATGTGTTCAAATAAATAAATAAATTTCACTTCAATATAGCAGCGAGTCGATATGAATAAATATTTGAAAATAAATAAACTAAACAAATCGCCACAAAATCCCTTCAGCTAAACTGTAAAAGTCAGCTCACTAGTGAATTCGAGACGTAATTCAAATTCTAGTGAGAAGTTGGGACTTTTAGAGCTTAAATATATCGGATGTAAGAAAGTTGTCATCAATGACATTAGATGCCCGTCACTCTATATCACAAATGGATTGAATTTTGAGTCGTACTATTAGACGTTAACGTAATAGTTCTAATCGCTAGGTGTTAGCTGTAAGATATAAAACTCATGTATTCGATCCCTGATGGGATCTTTGGTGAGAACTGCTGAGGAGTTCCGTACTGTGGTGAAAGAGCTGTCCAGTGTTACCTCGTTATCACAGGTACCCTAGAAATTAAACCAATCTACATAAAATCATTCGAACAAACGACGATCAATATAAATTGATCCTACATTACATTTCTCTCACTTTTTTTCAAATATTATGGTTGAAGATTGTAGATGACATGAATAAAAAACTAGTTAGGGAAGAGATATTTTTCCTTTATTACTTAAGATCGTCAGCTTTCCGACTGATTAGATTCCTACCATTGTAATGTGTGGTAACTTAGACTGATACCAATCTGTTTAAAGTTATGCATTGTTGGTGTCTGTCTGTTGTATGGCTTTTTCCTTCTAGTAAAATAGCGGCTTCCATTGGTCAAGCCAAAAATGTAGATTCATCATCATCATAAAAAATGATGAGATGGAAAATAAATAGAATTTTGTCAAAAACGTCTTCAGTGACATAAAATCTACAGTGGAAAAGGATTCGAAAAACAAGCTATTATTCTTAGGTGCCTTGGTCACCACGACCAACACAGGGAAACCGGACGCTTAAGCCTGTCGGAAGCCAATTCACACAGATCAAAGTCACAACTACAGTAGGATAAAGAATTAAGTCAGATGGAGTGACGATTAAAACCAATATGCGGACAGGTTGTAGGTTCACAATACCCAATCAAGCTCAACATAACAAGCTACCAGTAATATGTGCAGAAATTCGAATACCTCACTTCTACCTAAAGTTTGTGCTGATGTTGTTCAGAAGAATAATGAAAGTTTCACGACTAAGCCATCTAGCTAGGAGAAAGAAACCCGGCCAAAAGCAGAATTTTTGATTCTTTCTGTTTACTGCTGCTGGGTAACTATCACTGTAGAAGCACAAATTACATGAATTGACGACCATAAATATTTCGAGTGATCACTGTCATCATATGTAAACGATCTATCCTGGAGCAAGTCCAGATAACAGAATAGCTTCCGTTAAAAACAGAGGTGCCTTTTGTGAGTTTGAGTCGACCTGTAAAACTAATAAAAACAATTTCCTTTTCTCCACAAACTACGATTAAAGTGATACAAACAAAGAGAAAATAACCATGTTCATCATCTATGAAATCAGTTTGCAGGCCTAATATTATATCATAAACCATATATTTCCTTTTAGATTCGATCATGATTTTCACATATATAACTAAAAAAAAGGTAATGGATGACAGTAATAGATATTAGTTAATGCTTATTTTTATGTTCCAACATGTAGTAGAGATTTTACGAGGATCGTATTCGTTTAAATGAGAAAAATTAGAATATTATAATAAACAAACAGCCCATTATTAGTAGATAAGTGACTTGAATATATGAAACTATAGTAATAATATGGCTAAAACAATAAAGACATACTTTTGCACGGACTAATTGTTCCATCCTAGCCTTAGATGACTGACGGATTGCGTCACGTAGCTCGGAACATGATATTACGAGACCAAAATGTAGCGTTACCAAATGACGAATTGAACGTCCAACAAGTTCTATTTCCCAACCACGTGATAACCAATCCGCTAACTTAGGAAGTAAACGACGAACATGTTCACTAGTTAAAGCGCCCAATGCATGTTCTAAACCTGCTCCACCACCACCTAAACGAGAATACGGTGCTCTTAGAGCCATTAGACTTTTGAGTAGAAATTTCTCTGGACAATTTGTTCCACGTGCAACCATTAGAGGATGTGGTGTTATATTTTTAGCTCCGTTTTTACGTTTTACTATCTCTTCTTCATAAATGTCCATTGCTTCCATAAACATATCAGCCTGAAAGTTACGAGTAGAAAGTGTGAAAAAGTGAAATCGTTAGAATTAATGTTGAAGAAACCTGAAATTATCAAGAGATTGAGTATAAAGTTTGTTTAACTGGTAAAGAAGATTTGAGTATCTTTGATATTCATTGTGATAAGACTTTTAATGGTAAGCTATGTGTTACTTGTCGTGCATTAATTTTGATACAAAGCTAGAACACTGTTAATAAGAGTGTATGAATGTCACACATATTAACTGAATGTTATTCAAGGATGTATAAAAATAATTTTTTTCAGCTATTACTAACAGTTTACAAGTCTGATTATTCCTCTTTTTGTCCACTGTTTTTTTCAATTATGCTAAAGGGAAGTTACAAGTTAACCGATCACCAGTTTAATGGTTATTTGTGTATTAGGATAAAGTTGCATACTAGGCTATCAGATATACATGTGTACGTATCAAAGGAACTATATTCTCCCCCCCCTAACGTTCGAAAATGAAGTTCGGTTTGAAACCAAGCGTTTTACTAGTGCAAACACGAATGTCGCAATCACTGAGTTATATTTGTGTTAAATTCGGCAGTTGCTCAAAGAAATATGGAGAAAACAACAATTAACTACTTGACGTTAAAGATTACTTGAGTGAAGTTCGACTGTTATACAAACGCAGGACTATTAGGATTTACGAACGTTGAAATTAGTTAAAGTTGTAGTATCTTTAAATAGTGTTCAAGAAAATGTCTCCTTCTTAAACAATTACTCTTGTAAAGCAAAGCAGTTTACAGAGAATAAAATTTCGTGAAATTACAATCCATTCGCTTGACACATTTAGCTTTTAAACGTAAGATCGTAAACTTTAATTTTTGTTTGATCTAATCATTGGATAGATAGCATAGATTAATAAACGAAAAAATTATTTTAAAAATTTACGATAAACTTACAGCATCTCTTGTATTACCGGTTGGTCGTCCTAAAGGACCAACTTCACTAGCTTCTGAAGGCATCGCTCCAGGAATCACTGCTTCTGATCGGACCAATTCTTCCTCCTCCTCCTGTTCTCGTGCAATTTGTTCCTCTTCTTCTAAAATCAGAAGTTCATCAGCCTCCTCCCATATTCTTATGCTGAAATCTTGACCAGTAGATAGAATAAGACCACCCCATAGTTCATCCATATCATCATCATTGCTACCTTCATCTTGGTTGTTCTGTGCACGTGATTTGCGTGTTTTTTCCAGTTTAGGTGTTTTCTTTTGGGTCAAAAGAGCTGTGTTAGTAATTGTTGTAGCTAAACAAGTTACGCTGCCGTTATGACCCTGGAAATGATTTAAAAAATGTCAGAATTATGCATACAAGATTCTGTCATTAATCTTGTGTAATACATATTCAGTAGTAACGTGAATGAATGATGCGAGTTTTAGTTTTTAAAGAATGAGTTTCACAAAAATGGATACATTTTTCCATTGGGTAATATATAAAACATGAATTTGCTCTGAACACTAACCGCTTGCGAATATGTAACATTTTAAAGAAGGCACTATGATCAAACGATAGATGAAGTGTTTCTTGCAAGATTTTTTATTTTCTTCCTTACCCCTTGATTAGTACGTCACCTCATTTGTTATTTATTGTCGAATCAATTTTGTAATGCAATCTTTTCTAGCCTCCTATAGACATATATTTTCCATATTACTATATATACGAATGTACAGCTTAAGTAAATGATTTCGTCGAAAAGAAAATTTTCTTCGCTGAATTCTCTTTTTCTTGCAAGATTTATTTAAAACTACCCTTATAATTAATGACACATGTTTTACCTGTGAATGTAGCAATTTCAGTGACACCAGTGGTCACATCCATCAAACAC